GTCGAAGAAGAACAGGCTGTTAAAAGTGTAAGATGCGAAAAGACTAACAGCTTTTGATCATGCTTACTTTCATCAAGCCTTTCTTCTTAGGTGTGGTGATATGGTCAGTAATACTGAGGTTACACAGGAATAAGGATGGTAATTCATTTGATGACATTGTAAAGGTCACTTATTAAAATGAATATGATATATTTATTCAACATTCACAGCCACCAGTGTCAACGGACAATATCAGCTGAAGTTGGATTAGGTTGGGAAGAAATCGCCAACCGTAAGATGAAAGCATGATATTAGTCCACATTGTTGGGTGTAGAGTTGTTAGCTAGGGTCCCAGGAATGCAGTCAATCAGCGGTTGGAGACAATAAGTGGAATGGCTCAAAGTGTTTTTATTGGGCATTATTCAAATTCAAAGCACTTCATACAATCCCTTAATTAATATCTTTCCCATGAACATTCGTTCACTGTAGTTTCATTAGATTTCTTTTCACGGTGCACTCAGAATTGTTATTATTATTATACTGTTGAAGGCAATCGGCAGGAAGCCTTGGAATTATGGCCCATTGTGAAAAGTTTTACATTAATGATTCAGTAGGAAAAAGATGCTTTCCACTAATAGATTAGAAAGGACTTCTTCCACTGCTATATCCAGGAACCTTAGAAATGAGATTTTCGAGCTACTACTCATCATCGTAAGTGAAGATACAAATCTCTTGAAATAAGTTGTGAGACAACTAAAGACACATATTCTCAGAACACATGCATGGCTATATATACTAAAGAGAATTTTATAACTCCCAGATTATAGAGTTTTTGAATTAAAAACTACTGGGACACTTCATTTAAAACTAAACTGGAGGAACTGACAGTCAGTTATTCCTCAGTTTCACATAATTCTTGCTAAATAAGATTGGTCAATCAAACGAATTATATGACCAGTAGGCGCATTTACCTATTTACTTCCTAGGTCATAAACATTTAAAAAGTATGTACAGATTCAATTTTACAGAAGACGATAGAGGAAAACCAGCTACTTTTCTGATAAAACAGGGAAAAAATTCTCCACTGGTCATAATCATTTACATCGTTTCTGCAGGCCTCGCATTCTAGTCTGTCCTTGTTGTATTGACGTTCTACGTGGGCAGCAGAATGATTTAGTTTCTCACCTAAATTTGAATACATTACAAGGCTTCAGTTAGTCAACTGTCTATTTGTATTCCTTAATGAACGTGAAATTCTGGAAACATAAATGTATGAATAGGGCAACTTTTACTTTCCCAGATGTAGCCACTTTGTCTATAGGGTTCGCTGCTCTGAAGCCTTAATTAAATCTCAGTATAACACCTTCATACCCACTTTTAATGATGGCGGATAAACAGGTGATTAATAAATCCGCGAATTCACTGTAAATAATAGAAGACTGCAAACTTAGCTTTGATACAAGTACAATTTGTTTATGATTCACCCTTTTATTAAACTTCCTTTTAACGGAGAAATAATTCCCATCCCAACCTTATGAAATTAATTACTTTTGGAATATGCATTACGAAGTTAAATTTCGTTACTTTTTCTTCAGAAAACCGTAAACTATCTAAAAATCAGGATCCAGCCAAAATTATAATGTTAACACCGCCGCGGTCATAGTGAAATTGAAAGTGTATAGAGCAGTTCGTTATGATTAGTTTTGTAGCGGTAATTATTAGCCTACAGTATCCATCACTCAACATTGGATGCCGACCTTCACTGTTTAAATTGACTTGTTTAGCTGAAGGCTGATGATCAAGCATCCACGCCATGTGTCAAGCCATTGTGTTACGTTCGGTTGTTTGTACACGAATCCTAGAAACCTAGCGATCATCTTCACATTATGATTTTGGTACCGAAATATACTTCATATTTTGGAAGATAAATCTGGTGTTTTGCTTTGTCTTTGTTCTACACAAAAAAGATACTATAGGAGTTATGGGTATAGAAACTTGGGTTAATGTCCGTAGTACTTTCCGTAAACGTCAAAGTACCCTCTTCCTCTTCAGTGTCAACACAAGATCTTGTCATCCAGTTCTGCATAACAGTCTCTAAACCAATGATCAGTAATGAACGCATATTAGCTTAATAAACTCAGGTAAATAGTAGCCAAAAATTAGGAATCTTATAATAACTTGGACGGATCATCAAGAACGAATCATGATTTGTTTGACTTATTGATGCTTTCCTGCCTCATTATTGCAGATTAAACTAGTTTAACTGTGTAAAAGAATATTCTGGTCAAGTATAAACTTGTGTTTCACACTATTTTCGACAGGAATTTATATGTGACAACCTTTTGTGTTTTCATTTTGTTACGGATGAATGTCGGAAATTTTAATTTCACCAACATTACGATTCATGATGTTTAAAGTAAATTTTTGTTGTTTCCAACTCATCCTTTCTTCTCCATTTTTAGACATAGGAAATATTTATTATGCAGATTAGAAACGTTTTCGTTTGGGGGAAGCATCCTTTTTGAAAAAGGATTGCTCATCTTACTGTACAGATATTGCAAACATTTAGTGACCACTACATATTTACAATTAATTTACTTTTTGGGGAAATATGCACAAGGCACAACTTCTGTTATCATAATTTACATGAGCAGACTTCATAGAATACAGGTAATCAGCTGATTATCACAGGGGATCTTGAGTATGCGTAATCCACACAAAAGTTGTTAACAAGATAAGTAGCTTTAAAAGTAACCTAATGATTTAGAAGATTAAATTACAATTATCCAGTAGCCATATATTGAAACAAAGGATAAAAACAGAACTTATTTGATAAGTTAAAAAAGCTTATCTTCAGAAGTAAAGTTTTTTTGACTACTAGGCATTTACATGATTTACAAGAGACTGACCTTAATTTGTGCTCATCATAACATTATGCATAGTCAAATGCAAATGAATATGCATTCATACGGTTTTGATGCTTCAGTTTCTTATTACTTATATACTGTATACATTTGTTGAGCATTTTATTTCTAGAATCTAGTTTCTAGTAATTCATCAAACGACGTACCATATCGAGTGTCATATATATTAATTACCATGTATTCAGCTTCATTACATAAATTTTTATAAAACACAACATAATCGAGCAAAGAATATTCTTTTTATAGATATCTGAATGAATATTTTTGCTACATAAATTTTTCTTTAAATAGTAGTTAAACATATATATATATATAAATACGATTTATTGACTGAATGTAAGCTCGCTTAAGTTCATTGATTGCAACTATGTATTTTTATTATGCGAAGAATAAATAAGTATAGCTATCTTGAAGAAACTATTAACGCATATCTCAGCTGCACGCATCTGAGTACAAGTTGTTGACCTGACTATAGGTTTCACGCTTGAATCAATGCACTAACTACGCTACAATCTCAGATGAAAGCGTTAAATGCTCGTGGTATATCGGAACAGACAACCTTCATTATCTGTTTACCATCGAAGTAAACAGAAAACATATTCTAATGAATGGGGATTGGTGAACTGTGCAAACAACACCATATCACTACTCTAGATGGTCACCTCCATTTATGGGCAATGTTTATGTGACTATATAGCATGAGGGGCATTGTATCCAAGTGATGTGGATCTTTTATCTGACCAAAAATATTGAACTTGCTTAACTGAGTAATATTTTACAGTATTTATTAAAACGCAGAATACACTACATAACGCGTAATTAGAGTTTTGAAGAAGGGCATTTAAGTTTCAATGAATAAGAAACATGTGCTTTGAGAAATATTCAGGAGTGAAATTGATAATCTATATTAAATGATGTACGAAAGTTTCAAAATAATCCACAGTCAGTCTCAAATGGTTCTCAGGATGTTGTACTGAGGGAAGAACTTTAAGTAAAACTTAAAAGTGTAAGCAGCTGAAACTGGTGACAAAGTCTGTTTGTAAAATAAGCGCACACATATCTTGTCAAAATATTTCTTATTTCTTGTATACAAACTGAAGTTTTTAACATAACATAACAATTTAACATAACAATTTCGCTTTATTCCAGAAACTAGTTATGCCCCGTAGTGAATCCCAATTATATTATTACCCAAAACTTAAAAAATGTGGATAAGACTACGTGGAATGGAAAATTCGTAAACTTCTACAGCTGGATACCTTTATTTGAAAATGGGATCTGATCCGCTCAGTCTTCAACACTTGCAACACTAACAGGGTTCAGGTGAAGCTGGACTCTCTAATGAAGGTTTTCAGTGAACTTTGCTACCGTGAATACTGCACCACAAAATCCATGAAGCCTAAATCACCAAAACCATTTATGAATAATAGTTGTTGTTCAATTAGTTGGTTGATTTATGTTCATATTGTTCCTCAGTGGTTTATTAACTTTAAATTCTTCTTTTCATTAGTTTTTTTTAAATCGGTATTATCGCTTCTCCACCACGTCTTGAATTTTAGACTTTTAACGACAGGAACTAAAAACAATGTCATGCCTATCACTAGATTAGTCGAACTTATCAAACCATTACTAAATTCGGTTTTCAGTTGTATCTAATCAGCAAAATGGTTCTACGAAAATAATAAGATTCAGTCGATAGTAATAGAACTTCATTTGGGGTTTGGAAGATCTTTTGTTGTTGGGACTATTAGGTCAACATTTGATCAAAGTGCGTATAAATGGAGAATTTTCGCTTACAAATTACCATAATGTACTTATTTAGTCGTTTTACTCGTTAAATAGGCATTTACCCACCAGGCTTTATTTAAAGATTAAGTATTTGATTTGACACAGGAAATTTGTTATTAGAGGTAACCAAGCAACTAACGAATGATTGTGTTGTAGAAAAGGAATTTCGCAATTTTTTCATATTGTATACAGATAACGACGCACTTACGCTAAATTAAGGGAAATCAGTGTGTGTTGGCTCATATGTGATCTCTGTTCACTAAAATGACCTTATTTTAGCTTTGTCTTTCAAGATAGAACATAAGAAAAGATTACGAAGATATTTTTATTAGTGTGAAAAGATACTAAAATATACAGTAATATGTATTTTATGTTTTGCATCTATTTGTATATTATATGTAATTAGGAAGTTGATTCAGTTAAGATATTTCAATGGAAAAAAATTGAGTCAGTCATCTGAAAAATTATAAAAACATAAATTTTAATAAATACTGCATCGGATAACGTAAAAAGATGCATCGTGTACTGAAGAGTGTATTAAGTACAAAGAAATCACACAGTTAGCTAACCCTTGCAACTTTTTATGATAATTTAAATAGTAAACAAAACGCTTCACCTATTATTTCCTTATCACTAACAAATACTTGATTATCATTTTGCAAGTCAGAGTTTTGTGACTGTCAACTTCTCTGCGTTGTTATCAGTTCTGTGTGACATATTTCAAAGTTTAACATGATTGGAATCTCTCTCTCTCTATCGAGAGACGATCTTGGTTGTCGTGATGATAGCAAATTTCAGTGGAAAGCACTTGAGTGACTCACTGACTATACAGTTAATTTAACGGTACTAATACTATGAAGTTTAAAACAATTTTCATTCAGTATAAACAACGCGTAGTTTTACAGGGGAGGAATGAATTGGGATTGAATTGAATCTCTAGAACAAATTGATACTCGTATTAAGACAAAAAATTATCTGTCATAAAGATGTTTCTTCAGGCTATGTGACACAGAGTATTCCCAGTATTAGCAGTTATAAAGATAAATTAGCTATGTGCATCTTGCTAAAAATTTCTTTTTTGGAATTCACAAGGATATGGAATACATTTCGCCTAACAGAAGATAACTGAGTCTTTCTATTTATTATTATTATTATTATTTTATGCCTTTAAGTTCCCAGAGGAACATAAGACTTCAGAGCTTGGGCTTCACTCTTAACTAGCCTTATTACCAGCGTAGCAAGGTAAATGAGTTCGTCGACCTGGGATCGAACGTCAAACCGCATACATAGTTGGCAAGCATTCTACTGCTGAACCATCAGTGCATGAGAGTTTAACAAGCTGGCGAGATAAGGAACTGCTGAAATCATTACCCCCTAGCAAAACACTGGAATAAATATTGACATCTATCTGTATAGTAACATGTTCAATACAGAAAGCTAAAACTGGAGTTGCGAGAAACATTCAGTTACCCTCTGAGTCTGGGAAAGTTTCTCTAGTTTTTGTCTTACTACAAAGAATTTTTCAAGTTTGTTTCCCACCTCCTTAACTCATAAGGCTAGCAAACAACTCAAAAGCATAAATGCCAGTATGTAATATGATGTAAAGCAATACAGTAGTCAGCAATCAAATTTTACCATAATACATGAGGAAACTAGCATACATGAAACTATACTTTTAACCAAACTATCAAAAATTATTAGAGTAGAAGTAACCTACCATCAGAAAAAGTCGTGTAGAAGAAAGCACTCTGTTGATGATAAGCGGCGTTTTTCGATCTAATCTATGTATCTACTTTGTCTTCCATCACTGAAATAAAAAAGTAAAAACACCATAAGCAAATCAGTTATAGATGTGCAGATAATCATATCATATTACATAAGAGAATTTGATAATTCTCTTAGAAACCCATATGTTTCTCGAAAATATTTAATGTTTCTCGTGAAGTCTTTCACCATTTCCTGAAGATATCAATCGTCGTATTATGGTGATTAGAGAACCAGCTATTTGAACTGATTACCACCTTTATTTCAATAAGCTATTCCATCAACTCATATGACGTAAAGCGTACTATATAAGAGGTTAGTTCTATGATTTCATGAAATGGTAAAGTTACTAGTAAACTTATCTTTGGTTCACCAATACACTAAATGAAATTGATCACAATAATGAAAGATTTTGGAGTGATGTTGAAAAAAATATCACACCAAGCAGTCTACATTCACAAAGTTTATTTCATCAGTCAGGCCAAAGTTTATTTCAAATTCAAAATCCCAACTAATGGTTAGAAGAACGAGTAAATTATTTGACAGTAAAATGCATAGCCATAGCTATAAGAACGACGCTTGAAAGACTAGAATTGCAAGTAAATGTGACTTTTTCAGAACACATCTAAACGATAAAAGCAGAAAGCAAAAATATCACCCCACCCTCTTAACACTTATTTGTACATACTTTGAAACTAAAATGCAAAACATTATTAAATTAAAGGCATAGATTTAAAGATTTGTCCAGCATTTTAAAATGTTATTCGAATCACTGCATGAAAGGAATGCATCCTTTAAGTTCTGATCATCCTTAAGCACCATAAAATTAAAGCAAAATGAAATATGCTGTAACTTGTTAAATATACATTGAGTTCACCAGTACAATATCTTCATAAGTGATAATAAAGCACATTCCAGCTCACAACTCACTTAATGACAAATTAAAGGATTATGAAAATTTAGGACTGAGTTGACACCTAAAGAATGTCTTCAATAGACATTCCACAGTTGAGTCAATTACTTAGTCCGTTTGTGGCTTTCATGACTGTTGATAACGTTAGAATAATATTCATATGGGAGCATACTCCTCTTATTTTTGAATGTTATAGTAAGATTCACTGTGAAAATAAAAAATATTCTACATTCTTATTTCATACAGACTACTGAAATAAGAAAGACTGAAAGCATTAAAATTTAGCAAATAAAATACGAAGCTGAGATATATAAATTTTGAAGTTTTTATTACATTATGGTCTACACTGATCCTTTCAAATCTCACTTATTTTTGAAGGTTATAAAATGAACGTCAGTAGTTAAATGCACTGAAGCAAGCAATAGGCGTAGATTATAGATGCTCAAATATGCATAGATATAAACAGGTGCGATTTGCCAACGAGAAAATGACTGCAAAGTTAATTCATTCAAAACAAGAATCAAAGCAGATAATGCAAATTCAAAGTGGAACAGAAGATAGTGGTACGGCTAAACTGATTACCTTTGAAAGTGTTGTTCAGGCATGCTGTTATAAATGTATCAAAGGTAAATTTTACTCTGAAGGTTTTAACAAATAGTAGCTAGTATAACAACCAATGTATTAGGACTGATATATTTACATCAGAATACTTCAAAATCAGTAAAGGCATACTCAACTAGGCAAATTTTTATAAATAACACTCTGCTGTACTGCTGATAGTTTACTATTAAACACAATAAAATCATGTGGTGAAAACATTCTGATGCTCAGCATCAGCATCGCCGAAACAGATTTCACAGACTGCATTTAAATATCTCGATGATAATCATTTGTTAGTTAATAGCAGTATGAACAAGGTTATGTTTCAGACGAAAAATCATTCTAACGTGTGCGTCAGTGGAAATGATTAAGTCAACAGTAATTAGAATGTACGTTAGGATCATAGAATTGAAAAGTTTTTACTTCATTGATACTCACCAAACATAGAAACTTAAAAACCTTTAGTAAAATATCTTAGCAATTTAAATATATGCAATATCTTCCTACACCTAGTTGAGAGGTAAAAAAAATATCTAGAGACTTACGCATAAACAATCTCCACATTCTGACGATGTGGTGCCGAATAAGAATAAGTGTTGCCATTATTTGAAATTGAGCTACATAAAGTAAGAAGTGAAATAATAAGTGGACGATGAAACTGCTAGAAAAAATTATATCAGCATGATTTAACTTTCATAATAGATATCAAAGCAAATAATATATAGAAGAGCTAGTGAAAATGTTGGAGGAACTCCAGCCGAGGCAGAAGTACTATCAGAGAAATAAATTCTGACTTAAATAAACTGCTTTAAAGTATTGGTTTTTGTAGGGATTTTATTCTGATTGGTTGGAGGTCTTCATCATAAGCTGACATCAGTCAGAGAAACATGGGAAAAACCTGGAAGTACAGAACAGCTGTTTCGTCCTGGTTTCATACTCTTCAGCGCACACCTAACGGGGTTCATACCAAGGACTTTCTGATTTCAAGGCGAGCTCATACACAATTAAGACAATGGCATTCGATCCAATGGCCCGTGAATTTTAACTTCTGCCAATTCATGACACAACACGACCATTTCACAATGTCTTCTTCGATGAGTTACTGCCTCATCTTCAACCTGCCTCAAACTAGGGCGAAACAGCGGTCCAGTACTCCCAAATTTTTCAAATGGTTCTCTAACTGATGTCAGCTCATGATGAAGTCCTCTAACCAATCAGACTGCTTTTAATTGTGTAACCTTAGCCTTCACAAGGTTAAGGATTATGTTTTACTTTCTTACTTTAAAATATCTTTGTACCTTAGAAGGAGATACGAATGAAAAATAAACTCAAAGAACTGATAATTTAACGCTGTAAAACACGATATCGGAAAGAAAAGCTCTGAACTAGTATGGTCGAATTTATTTCGATTAATAGGAAGAAAAGACTGAATTAAAACCTTTGAATAGACTTTTTCGAATAATGTGAACAGTCAAACTGTATAATCGATACTGATTCTAATAGTGATTTACACAGTCCATATTCATACGTGTATAATAAGGTAAAGTGACAGTTATGTACTTTAAGTCGTCTCTTCTACAACACTGAGAAAATTAGCCAACGGATAAACTGATGAATTTTATTAGTAATGTTTAATGCTTTTTATCTTTGTTGATAGTATATGAAAAAAATTAACCGCTTGTAAACAATGACTGATATCCTATTGATTCATTTGAAAATATTCCACTTACCTAGGCTCAGGCAAAACATCATTCGGTGGGTTCGAGCGACTTGGGTACGGAGAATTATAGCGTGGTTGATATGTTTCACGAATGTTTCTAGAAAAGACGTTGTAGAACAATCCACATGTGATATCATTAAAACTATGGCATAGATCACAAAAGACTTATTATCAAAACTGCTCATTTCAATAGTAGTTTAGCAAAAGGTGGCCAGCCTGCATCAGATGTTCATTTTAATTATCATAAAAGTTTGTCAGAAAAACTGAGAATATTATTAAACTGTTCATAAGAACTCTAAGAAACAATGAAAACATTTTCAATTATTTTGCATCTGTGTATTCAGAGTTTAAGACTTCTTTAAACTAGCACACAGAAAGGTAAAGAAAGAAACATTTTTACCGAAGTATTTTAGCCCTAGAATTTCTTAAAATCAAAGTGACCACTTTACACTATAGATACTGTATGCTGACGAAATAGGGTTAATTCTGTATGGATTAAATCACTAGGGAGACTTTATTATAGTTATACATACAGATGATGCTGGGGACACCGAGCGATGCTGGGGACATCACTCGTACCCAATTCCCATGAAACTTCATGGTTCATGAAGCCGGCTCATCCTCCGGTAGGAGATAGCCGAAGTAAAGTAAAGTAAGTATACAGGTGACATAGATTAATGATAATTCTTTTCTTATCGACATTTGGGATACCCTCTTTACGTAAGGGTAACTTTTGGGGTCATTTTTATGGAATAACTATGCCTCTGAAAGCTTAATCAATGTGCACAAACGTCTAAGACAAGCTGTATACAATCCTCTTTCAATATTGTACGAAAACACTTATGTAATGAGGTAGATTTGACTAACTTCACTTTTCCTGTTTATCATTTTGCCATTGAAATTCTTGAGCAAGCTGTGGAAGAGAACTGGTGGTTTCAGTTGTATGCGACGATATGAGGGATATTCTGACTGTGTTTAGTTCACCATGTACCAATAAGTGTCGTCTGTTTGTACCACTAAAGTTCATAGCACTTTGCAAGAATAGAACTTGCCTTCAAGGACACCGAGCTCTGGAGATAAGATAAGCCACCATAAAAAATCATGCGTCTTATTGATTTATTATGCTTCTTTTGCGTAGTAACGAATGTGACTCCACACTTTATGAAGCCAACCAGATGCAACACACTAATTTGCCTGAGTGCAAAATACAAAACTAAAGGGTTCACGCTGCTGATCCACGCATATGAAACGTAGTCATTTCCAGCCGATATTATCTGGTGATTGCATGCTTCTCACTAACCCTATTTCTATAAGCATAGCTGTGTTCTACTGAAACAAATTTTACATGTAACTGAGGTCCCATGGTCCCTGCTGAAGCAATAAATGTTACTGTTTTGAAGCACCAGCTGAGATCCTTTAGACAATCTAGTAGCTTGTCCTCTCAAAGCTGTCTATATTGTCCACCTTTCTTCAATTCTTAGACCTTAAAAACTGTCAAGATGGCGTTAGTTGGTCATGATTAAGAATGAAGAAGATTATTTGAGGACTAAACTATTTTGGCTCATAGGTATTTCCCGATTCCGGTACCGATAGTCGTGATATCCTATCACGTATGATTCACAAGCAAAACTGATGATAACAATAGCACAAATTTATTGTTTATTTATTTCTGTTAAATGATAAAATGCATCGACAGCTTCTTCTCTGAGTGCTGTAAGTTAATCATCCTGTCATTCGTAAATCTGTTAGTGCCTGTTTCATCTCACTTCCCCGTAACAATTTGTTTGTCTTACTTTCCATTTCCCAAGCTCTGCCAAATTTTATTTTTAATTGTTGATTAAAGGGTCATTTGACAGTAATATTTTGCACTTCCCGTAATCATTTTTAAACTATTTAACCCCATAACTTTTCTCACATAAAAGTAATAACCACTTTTCATTTTTACTCATGTGAAAACATCACTCACCTTGACTCAACTAAAGTATTGGTTGGTGGATTTGAACGACTTGGAATAGGGGAATTGTAACGTGGTTGATATGTCTCTCGGATGTTTCTGTGAAAAACAGAAGTTACATAATAATTTTGATGTCAGACTGACAGAAAGCCATTTTCACGATGAGGAATATCAAAGACCGATCCATTTCTTTGCAGACCAGTGGGAAAGTTTCTACTTCAAGAAAAAGTTGAGTGAATCAAATTGACCAGTGTAGTTTCTTGGATTCTAAAGATTGCATTTATCTCATTTTTTATGTGAGGGTTTGAGTCACTTTGCTTTGATTTCATCTCAAACTGATTGCATACATTATTGGGATTAAAATAAATGATCACTAAACGGCTGTCTTGTTATAGTTTTATGTCATTCTTTGCTAGATACTCGAAATCCATCGATGAATCAAGCTTACACCTAGTTCATAAAATAAAGAGCGTACTGTCAGTTTGTCGGTGTGAATCGTGCATTTGAATTTCTGCACATCTCTGAGATAGTATTCTTGTCAGATAACTCCCATATATTGGTTTCAGGCAGTTAGTGGCTAAAAAGCTGCTTTCAAGAGAAGTGTTAATTTTGGTTTTTGACAAAGATGAAAAGACTAAGTAGGAAAATAGCGAATGGTTAACATATCCAGATTCTGAACTGTGTCTGCAAGACTTTCACTAATTAGCCTCAGTTGTCTTGCAGATTTATTTTCGGTAATCCACGCAGTCTTAAGCAAATTCAGTTAGGTTGACATACAACTGTTTCTAGCATAGAGACGAAGTGCAATAACAAAATACACTCACCAATCCAGTTAACTAGGGAGTTATATCACTCTGATGAACTCGTTATTAACGATATCTACGCATAAAATTTGAACTGTCATGACATCAGATTTCTGGCACTGGTGATATATTCAAGTGATGGTTTTTTTTAGGTATTTTGTTTGATTGAATGGAGGATTTCATCATGAGCTGTCATCAGTTAGAGAACCAATGGAAAAACCTAGGAGTATTGGACAGCTGTTTCGTCCTAGTTTGGGATGTCAGCTCATGATGAAGTCCTACATTCAATCAAACAAAATCCCTACAAAACCAGTACTGGAAAATTAATCTGATGCTCACTAGCGATTGGCTGTATTCATTCAGTAACCTGGGGTTCTAGTGGGAATCCGTGACCAGTAGTGTACAACGGGCTAAAGATGAGGCAGTAACTCGAGAAGACATTGCGAAATGGTCTTTGCGTGTCATGAATTGCCAGAAGTTAGAATCCATAGGCCATTGAATCGAACCTCATTCGCTTAATTGTCTATGAGCTAGCCTTGAAATCAGAAGGGCCTTGGTTCGAATCCCTCTAGGTGTGTGCCGATGAGGAGTCTCAAACTGGGACGAATCATCTGTCTAGTACTCCCAGGTTTTCCGTTTGTACAATCGACTATTGGTGAAAGCGCGTGTACTCTAATTTTAGGACTCTAAAAAGTTGGCAATAAAAATTCAAGATGCAAAATCAAATTGGTGCTACTTAGAATAAAAGGATAACACTAGATGTTTGGGCTAATTTAACCAACAGCTTGGTGAATCTTCATCAGATGAAATATGACACATCTTTTAATCATACTTGACCAGCAGTGTTGCTTAAAGCAGGACTAGATTAGAAGGGCCGGAAAGTGGTAAATATTTACCAAGCCTATAACTGCTAACTAACAAAAACTAACATTTTGGGACTTATTGTTTCATTTGAAGACACTTCTGATTTATTATGTCAGTTATGTCAAACCCCCCCCTTATTACTAAATAATGGACCACCATACATTTTTTGTACATACAATTACTATTGTACAACCTCTGAAGGTGATTTCGTCGACATAAAAAATTTCTTCGCTAAATTGTATTTTGTTTTCTTTATGAATTAGTGCATATTTTGGGTGATTTTAACTAATCCTCATTTAATTGTTCTCTTATTTGCGACCCTCTTTCCATTACATTCTCATTATATGTCTGTTGTTCGACTTTTTGAAGTGTAAAAACCTGAACTACCGCTACTTTTTCAAACCTTTTCCTTGGTAAATGACTCAGTCAGTTACATTAATAATTTTTTTTGATAATTACTTTATTCTGTAACATACAACTTACCCTGCGTTTGGTACATCGTCAACATTATACGAATATACTGGACGTATGTTATCAACGTTTTCCGTTCTTTGATAGGGTCTGTGATAAATCAAATAGAAATGCAAATGGAAATCATTTGCACTATGTTACTGAATACTGTCTACAGATATCATTATTTCCAGCACCTGAAATGTCAACTATCATGAATGTCCTAGTCTTAATCTTGGAACAAGGTTGTGATATAATTTTAAAAAATTCCACTGAGAAACTGTCATTGATTTAGAAGAATCTGTTGTAGATAATAACCGTAACACAAAGATGCATATTTTCACACAAAGTTATGCTCCTTTAACTTTTTGCGGATAAGAAGTAAGGAATTTCGGTCTCAGTACAGATGGGGCTGTCATCAACTGTTGTTGATTAATGATTCTGGGATTGTTGTATGCGATAACAATACAACTTCGAAATACTTTATGGTTTGGCGTCAGAAATTCGTGTCAGTTATATCATACTTTTTTCATCTGGTGAAAATTACTGTTTATTGATATGCATCAAGCTATTGGTCATATTTCAAATAAACAGAGTAGAAGGATTTAGGCGAAATATTTTCAGGCGCGTTTACCTGACAAATTACTTTTTATTGGTGTAATTTTGTATTTACTAAGCATGATGGCTCAATGGCGAAGAGTTCATCGTCAGAACAGACTATTTCTTGAACTTATCAGTTATAAGTGAATTTTTTAATGCTTCTTTGTCAATTAATCAGCGTCTTCAAATTACTTTTAAGTAAATCAAAGTGACGAAACGAAATAAGGCTTTAACTTGCAATCATAAGTGAATTATAGGTGTCTATGATTAAAGCATGTTATATGTATAAACATTTCATTCATTTCAATATGTTGTATGAGCAGTTTTAGTAAAACCTTTCAAAACTTAAAGATAAAGCATTTATTCATGCAAGAGTAAAGATCGTTTTATGATAGTTTGTTTGACGTGGCATATATTAGTACCATATAATAAATAGCCTTATAGATACAATTTACTTCTTGTAATCAACATGTTAGTCTGTTTAGCCTTCTGTCCGTAAGCTAAGAGTTCCTTAACATCATCAAGGTGCATGGTCGTTCATGTGAAGGAATTTTCTCAGTTTTTCACTTGATCTCTTCGAAAGCTTTAATCTGTTAATGACAACATTGAACAGGTCCGTCACGCATATTAGTGTATAACGCCTTATAGTAGTTGGCCAGACATTCCAAAAGTATTATGATTCAAATAAGCGATAACATCTTTCTGAACTACAAAAAAGCCATATATCGAAATTTTAATCCTAAATATTACACTAACCTTGAATAACTTGTGACTTCCTTGTAACTGTTAATTGGTTTGTTATAGTCATACTCACTCTGTAACAATGAAAAAGTTTAAAACTACAGTAACAAGTTATCTGAACATTATAAGACTGACAGTGGTCATAACAGCTACGCAAGTAATCAGATGGTCGTTTAGTTTTTAGGTGTAAATCAAATGCCGATTTATTTCACGACATTACATCTTCAAAGAAACAGTCATAGATTTCTGTTCCATGTAATCAATTATGAGTTTTAGTGCAACTAGAATGCATGCAAACTGCTGAATAAGCCAACTGTAGCAATGACTGAACTCAGAATACACCTGTTCAGCAGTAAGTTACAAATTGTTTATTGAATAATTCGTTTCCTCAAGTGTATATAAACATTGCCAGTAATTGGTCAAAAGATGTCTGAATGTATTGTAAAGTGAGGCAAAAATAATATCTCAATTCTAGCAAGAAAGATTGCATAATATCACTTTGAAAAGTTCGAAGGAGAAAACATGTACAAATGATGATAATTTAGGAGGAACAGCTTTTCCAGTGGTCTTTCTTTTAATTTCGTTTTGCGCAACTACTTATCAATCACACAGTATGAGTTTTTAAGTTTCACAAGACTTTGTCTTTCTCACTTAGGCTGAAATCTTTTCAGCTCTTATTTAGCATTCGAACTGCGAGTTTATTAAAAAACATCAGATAGGTTTCGAAAATCGTTAACTTTAAATAACGTGATACTGTAATTGCCAGAAGGTCCTTATAGAAAAATTCCATATTTTGATAGAAATTAACAGTAATGTTCTTCATGTTCAATTAGAATTAACTCCAAAATTGACTTACTAATTTGAAATAGGTTTTTCGGTGTAAGTTACAGTTAGTAAATCACTCTTGTGACTATTGTGCATCAACCTGGAGGAGTCCTAAACATAAGCATAATATCTTCACTTGCTTTTTTATTTTATTAGTATAACATTCCACATAAGAATTGGCTCTAGAAATAATCAAACACCTATCCACCAAACATGAAATTTATTTCATACACGTATGATACAGTCATAAAAACGCCCAGCTCAAGAATCAATTTTAGAACAAAAACTTTATCTCACATAGTTTGTATCCAGTTCACGTCTGATGTTTAAATTCTGACCTTGTGGTGATCTTTGCTGACTATAATATCTTTGTCCATATACCGGATCTCGGACACTCTCTGGAATGCTTCCACGGACAGGCTGACAAATAAAAGTGGTAGAAATCCCTTATAAGTTTGGTTTAGAACCCTTAATTTTAAAGTTTCACTTCAAACAGGTGTTATTTTGATCCTGGTAATTTTTATTTCAGACACTTTTAGAATAATTTTCGAACGTTATTAATATATTAGTTTTATAAGCAACAAGGAGATTCGTACACTTCTGTTTAACTTAAAATATAACCTTTATATCATTTGGGTAGAATTTGGAGAAACAAACAGCTAATGTTTTTAAACTTTCCTTTTACGATTTTACAGAACATGCTGACTTTAGTTATTAATTTTATCTTGTAAAACTGAAATATACTTGCCTCTGTAAAATCGGTCACAGTAACAATTACTGGCAGTAGCGACTTGTAAACGTGATATTCAGTGACTCTGTAGTCTCTACATTACACTCTTGCGTATGTTCAGCATAAATGTTTATTAGGGTACTAAACGAAACCCTAGGGTACTTCAGAGTAACTGGAAACAGTTTTGAAAATTAATGTAAATAGTTCGAACATGAAAAGATCTCATAATTTATAACAGCCATCTGACGCACTGTAGCTTTGGTTACTTGCTTGGAGTTTGCATGGTTTCTTGATCAATATGACTAACTATATATCTTTGTAAATCATGGTTTGGTAATATCGTGGTGTGCCAAACTAATAGCTCAACCCGTTAAATTTAATAAAAACCATATAAATGATACTCTTCGTTACGACTGTATTTTCTAATCACGGAGTGAAAAGTTTTAAACTCAGTCGATTCTAGTACCATTAAAATGAAATGTGTGATTATCATAAGGTGGTTTAGAGAACAAAACTATGGCTGATTCAGACCTATTACAATATGTGTATTATGTTTTCAAGTATTGGTTTGTTTTATTATTAGCTTGAACAACAGATTCAGTGTATATTAGTGTTGTAAAAGATTACCCGATACGTATCCATCTCGTTTGTCATACTCATGTTTGAATTCTGTAAATATGGTTGTTGGTAGTAACGTTGTCCATATATTGTCTCTTTCATAATATTTTCTGGCACGCTTCTATAGAATATTTGCTGCAAATTCAATACAACAATTATCAAATGAATAATTTCATTTACAAATGCATTTGTTGTTATGTTAAATAAGATGTGTAACTGTGAATCTCCCGAATATATATGTGAAATGTGTATAACTCAGTTCACTATTTTTAAATCAAGCATTAACCAAGCTCCATTTAGTTGTGAAGCCTTCATGAGTGACACTGTCAAAAGAAATCAAGTATGGTATATACTACCTGTTTGTACTTCCAAGGTAAAATATAGTGAGGGGCACTTCAGAATTACAAAAGTTTTCATTTTGTTGAGGTGCTGTTGTCCAAATGAAGAAATTAATGGAAGAGCAGAGTTAAAAAAACAGTGGTACACCGTTAACTGCTCTTATTCCCTTCCAGCAAAACGAGTGTTTAGTATTTTGCTGACATAAGTAGTTATGGAAGCAGTGGATGAAGTGAAGAACCTCAAGAGTTTTTCTTGTTTCTCAGTTCATCATCGCCAATCATATGTATCCTCTTCGAATTTGTTTTATATTCATATCAATTTTTGGCATCTTTCATTCTAATAAAGCTAATGAAGCATCTCAAGGGAAAAGCTGACAAAACCACTTTAAACACGAATGAAATTATCAAGCAGTACTTCTATTGATCAAATCCACTACACCTGTCAGTTTGGTTTTTCCAAAAATAACTTTGATATAAATCAAAGATATAGGTTGGCTAAAATATACACCGAATCCTATCGCTTATGTAGAAAGCTTAGATACTGATGACGAATTTCTAGTTGCGTTCATTCGCTGAAACTATAATTAATAGTATGGCTTCCTTATGTGATTTTAACCTTTAAAAGAAAATATATACACTGACAAGCGAAAAAGGACTATCCATTTTACGACCTAGAAAGCATTAACAAAGCATAAGCTTATGACCTTAAATCATTTATAATTTGATTGGAAACATACACCAAAATATTTTATCAAAATCCCATTCATATACCGTGATTTATGAGTTTTCTTTACTAAATCTGAATCTGTTTGAGTTAAACCACGTAAGACTAACAGTTTGGCGAATTTTATGACCTATCAGAACTTTCAAAAAGATGGCAATTACATAACAATCTAAAGCCGCTTATTGTGAAGATTATGTCCTGTTTTACATAGTAAATACATTTATTTACCCTCATTTTAACCAAAATTTGTCGATATTTTTGACAAAATTAATGATTAGACGAAGGACTGACGTTTCTCACAACTGCAAATTACAGAAGGTTGGACTAAAATGCTTATGGATAAATCAATGTTTCTTAGCTGCTCGAAGAAACCTTAGCCAACCTCAGAAATTCTGAAAACGTATAAGGATTGCAAATTCTTCAAATTTACAGTAAATTTTTGTGCTCACACGAATGGTTAGTTTGCTCAATTTCTTAGAATCAACAGGCATCCTTATTTTTCTTAATGACAGTGTTTCAAACCACCCAATGCAGAAACTTAGATACATTCAAATTAAGATGGTTTGTTCATGGAGTTTAGATGGACGATGCCAGAGATCACTGAACAGCTTTTGATGAAACAGCTTCCCAAACAGTTTTGTAGGATAAAAACCAACGCCTTGCTTTATTTCTTAATAAAAATGCATTGCGTAGTCTCAATTTCAAGACAAATGTAGGTCGGTAAATTACATCTGCAGAAATGGAGAATCTTAAGGTTCTATAATCCAAAAGTATTTAGCACTTTGTTCTACCTGCAAGTCAAGTTTAGTATTTCATAACTTTTGCGCAATTCATTTGATAAAAACCTCATAAAAAACATTATAAAAGTGTATAACATTTCGAAAATAAAAAACTCTTTACCAACTTAGCCAAACGAAACAGATACCTGACTTACTTTTGTTCTATCGTCCAGAGCATTGCCATAATTACGTAAACCATTTTCACTAGTTCTAGCGACTGAATACTGTGAAGGCCTGAATGCGTCTTCTGAATTGTAAACTTTCTTGGTTCTTCGGCACCCAGGCATTTGATTTCAGGTCAACAAACTATTGAGCGAAAATTTGCTACACCTTTTAACTTGTGGAATTAGTAAGTTTAGTTATGTGGACGATTAAAACAAAATTTAAAGTGCTTCACAACAAGTATTTTGTAGAGGCATTTATCTTCTGCAAAATTTTTCTGAGGCTTTTTGTGTTTTAACCACATATAATAAACATATATTTGGTGAATGAACGATGTAGCACCATTTGCGAGTTCTGTACGCATTGCGATTTGTATCTTCTCCGAGTCTGCTAACTGTGATTGGAGAATTGTTGACAATAAGCGCAGACGTAGCGAATACAGAGATGGCATTTTGGATCACAGATCTATTACTATTAATATTAAAGAATATGCTTAAATTTTTGTTTGATTTCTCCCTCGTGTGAAGAATTCCCCCCAGACTAAGCAAAATGGAGGTTGTTTGTGTCAACCTAACCTCATTTACTGAAACAAGCTTAGGAGTTTAGAGTGGGACACTTATTTTACATCGAAATAACTAAGTAAACTAAAAGTTTATGTGTTGGATTTCCTATCTCTGCAGATTATATTTAATAAGACGAACGCGAAGTATTTTTCGTGGTGCACTTCCTAAAACATACTGCTCCCACTAATATACTTTAAGACACAGTCATTTTGTAGGCTTTCGGTCACCATTTCACACCATGCGCAGTCATTCTACAGGTCGTCAACCCAAGAAGAACAAGATTTAGCGCTCCCATCAATGAAGAAGATCCTTGCTTCTCCTCTGGATGGCGCGTGCAACTCGCATGGAGGATTCACCACGGAGCAGTCACCTTCCTGTTGAACACTTAAGCAAATAATTTTGCTGGTGTACAACATGCCACGCAGGTTCAAGTGACGTGGAGGTCTGAATCTTCTCGAAATATGCTAGACAGCTCGTTACCACAGTCTTCTATTTGCGTCAAATGACCGATTTTCTCCAGTATGACGGTCGGAATTCACTCACAGATAGCACATAATCACACACATAAGGAAAAGTGAGACAATAACATGATATTCTCTAGTTTTGAGTGAACTCGGGAGGGCCCAATTTCCTCTCCTTCCAATACAAAGTAAATCTCAATCATTTGCCTGCCCACAACATCTTAGGTATCACATGGGTTCATATCACTCCCAATGACTTATAAACTAAGTGAATACTCTCATACTGCATACAACATGGTGCAGGAAAAATTATCATTGTTCAAGTATTTGAGTATCATTGACACTTGCCCACATCCCACGCTGCACAAACAGTAGGGTTTCAAAAACCAAGTATAGTCCGCCAGTGCCAAAGTTTAACTCATCGCCTGAGCCTGACACTTTTATGGAGAGTAGGGTTCACTGTAGCAAATACACAACACCTGAATGATACACGTCGCGAAAAAATGCTATTCCTAATAACTTTATTAATGCGTGTAGTTAAAACAGTATCCTGAACGCTAAAGGGCACAAATTCCCTTTAGTAAGAAATTGGATCTATAAGTTCAAATTTGCTCAAACAAACTACATCATGTTCAAAAACATGTTTTACCCAACGGAAATGTCTGGAATATTTCACTTAATCGCTCTGTTGTTGAGAACAAGTATATTGTTGACTCGGACGCTGTTGGAAAAGGGCGGTTTACAACAGTGTTTGTCTTCGAAATTAGGTAGCCTATGCTCTGTAAGTTCGAAGAATGTGTGTTCACTTCAATCAAAGAGTAATGGAATTACAACCAAGCTTGATGCTGAATGATTCAGAAGACCATACATTATCGCTTCATTCATCTTCAAGGACTGTACTTTCCGAGATTGAACGCCACAAGGTCTGAATTATTTTTCTTTATAACCATCTGTCTATAAGGATAGACCCTCATAGTTCGGTCATTCGAAAGACTGAGGCAACTGAAAACAGGACGTCAAACAATCGCAATCCCAGATTTGATTAACTAAGTTCAGCTTTCTTAGAGGCCCACTGTCTGATGGGTATCGTCCAGGTGACAGCAAGATGCGGCATTATCATTTTTCACCCATGTCTACGAAATAACTACCACCTGCCTGTAAATTCGTCAAACTCCAGTAGTCATGTTCCAGCTGACTCTTCAGTGCCTCATAACCAGAGAGCAGTCCCCTTGCATGACCCATGTAGTGAGACTAGAACACCACTGGTTGAACGACACTTGTAGTGAAAATTTGACTGAATATGTAGAGACATCTAAAAGCGACAGCACTGCGACTCACAAGACCAGTCTGACAATTAACTCTTAATTATATACTAATTTAAAGTCAGTGAATTCAGAGAGGCGTTTTACTTGTCACAGAAACTGGGGATGTCTAATGGATCATGTCCAGGTGCAACATTAAGGCCTAAAGTCTGCCTGATCAGGTACGAATTAACAAACTGGGAACTTCATTTTTTATGCGTGTAATGCTTATTGATCTCCTCGTCATCTAATTAAGGCGTCATGCTATTTGAACGCAGTGGTCATAAAGAAGACATTCACTCTTTACTGCCTGTGTCAGTCAACTCTCAAAAATTGTCACTGTCCAGCTCTTACTACGCTGGACCTCATGCTGTCCCTCGAACGCTTACAGAAACAATGTGTATTAATCAACGCGAAAAACCAGAACACAGATTGGCGACTCAAGAATCCTTTATTCTTACGCCAATATATAACCAACAATAAGGTTTTCAAATGTTGGTTTGTAGGGATTTGATTGGTTTCAGGATTTCATCATGAGCTGACATTAGTTAGAGAACCATTGGGAAACCTGGGAGTACTGGACAGCTGTTTCGTCCTAGTTTGGGACTCTTCAGCAGTACGCACCCACCGGGATTCGAACCCAGGACCTTCCGGTTACAAGGCGAGCTCGTATACCATTAAGCCACTGGGACCCGATCCAATGGTCCTTGAATTCTAACCTCTGCCAATTCACGACATAGCGCGACCGCTAGCCAATGTCTTCGGCGAGTATTTGTCCTCACACCCAGTGGGACTTCGTGACCAGTAGGGTGTAGCAGGTCGGGTGTGAGGACAAATACTCGCCGAAGACATTGGCTAGCGGTCGCGCTATGTCGTGAATTGGCAGAGGTTAGAATTCAAGGACCATTGGATCGGGTCCCAGTGGCTTAATGGTATACGAGCTCGCCTTGTAACCGGAAGGTCCTGGGTTCGAATCCCGGTGGGTGCGTACTGCTGAAGAGTCCCAAACTAGGACGAAACAGCTGTCCAGTACTCCCAGGTTTCCCAATGGTTCTCTAACTAATGTCAGCTCATGATGAAATCCTGCAACATTAAGGTTATTACACAAGGTCTAAGAATAAATGTTATTACAATAAATCACGACAACACTTCTTAAAGTTTTCTGTATTCCACTGAACAGCAAACGATGAGACGATGACTGATGCATTGATGACCTGCGAAAAATATGGAGGAGTTGGGTTTCAGCAAACAACCATGAATTGATCGTTCAATCTTCAACTACATTGACAGTCTGATGGTAGAATTTTTTCGTTTATATCTTAAAATGAACTCATAACAAGCTTTCTAGTTATCCGTTCCATTCGAAAAAAGTATCGTTACAAGGATATCGAGCGTCCTCAAATATTTTCTAGCCTCAGTTTGCTCACATGTAAGTTGCCGATCCCATAACGGTATGCGAACTAGTAAATTTTAATGTTGGTGACATACCCACTACCTAGAGTTTTTCTACTGTTACAAAGACTAATGAACCACCTACAACTGCTTATTTGGATTTATGGTCAAAGTTACGTATTTACAAACACCATAACTACAATTATTTGCTAATCGATCCAGTAGCCACTCTACTTCCAACCTTAAATGAAGTGTCAAGCTTTTCTCTGTGTCCACTAATATAAAAGCTCAATGACCAATAAAAACGGTAGCCAATCAAATTGTAGGCACTAAGCTCAGTGGTCTCTGATCCCTGTTAGGAAACTATCTTCCCATTGGCTGTTCACAAGCCAAAGGAACAACACCAATAAATTCTACTCTAACTCAAACACTGGGGAATATAAGCCCGTTATCATAAGTATGTCCTCCATGGTAAGACAGAATACTAATCCACTCCTCTATGGGAGTCGTATAAAAGTAACCTCAGACGCTATGTGTACATGTAACCAGGCCAACTCTCGGTCACACAATAATAACGCTAACCAGGATGCATATGACTTAATTCTGAAAGATTCTCCACACGAACTGAGTGCGATATTGTGTAACATACCATCAAAAGTTTCTTCTACAATACAAGTTTACTGTCACTTGTAATGGACGTAACACTTAAAGAATTCACACTCTAAATTTATACAACGTCGGAGGGATCACTTTCTTCAAAATCCAAGCGATATAAAGAACCTGTGTTTTCTTCACATAGATCAATTTATATTTACACGGTATGTAGAATCTGTTATGTTTAAATATCTGATGCAAAATATAGGGTACACTACGGCTAAAGCTTTTATTTGCAGATTCATGTTCTGCGCGTCGCTAAAGAAGTACATAGTGAAGTTCGGGTATCTGCTTCGCTACTACAAAACCCTTTTCGAAATTATCCAACAAACCTTAGACGACGTTCTGTATGCACGCATTGAAACCTCATTTACGAGGCTGGTGCATAAATTATGGATTTGGACACTGACTGAGATGCGCACGTCTAATTATCACTTTTCTTTCCTCTCTTCTATGCCGCCATACCGAAACTTATTTTCCATGGGTTTCGATATTTCAGTGACATACCCCTGTCCTAACTACATCCGCACCATCTCTGCTGGGCGATTATATGGCATATCCCGTATGTGAAGTGGCGCCTCCAGGTTTACCTTGACGGTATTTGCGCAGTACACCTGATTCAAGTTGAGACTGGTCCCCCAGGCAAACGCAGTTGACGTGGTTTTCGTGCTTATCTTTGCTCATGTCGGATGAATTTATACGAAAACTTTTGTTCGTTTTTGTTCCTGAGCATTTAAGTATTGTTTGTGTGGCTGGATGCTTAAATATATGGTTCATGTGATGATTAGTTAGCATACCGAGTAAGCTTCGCGAACATTTCGACGACTGTCTTTTGATAAATTTCTTTGCAGCTTGGGGCATCCTGTCCTCGATCCAAAACTTCCCTATCAGCTGTTTTGCAGTGCCTATTTCTGTTGCAGGAACAGAGGAATATGGTTAATA